AAGGGAAGGGAAGGGAAGGGAAGGGAAGGGAAGGGAAGGGAAGGGAAGGGAAGGGAAGGGAAGGGAAGGGAAGGGCCGCCCGCTCCCGGCCCGGTGCAGTTGCTCACGTCGCTCCGCAGCGCGGGCAGCGGAGCGGTCCCGCCTGGGAAAAGGGGGATAAAGGTGGGAAGGGATCCAGTTACACAATGGGAGCGATTGGGGCCGCCCTCGCAGCCGTTCCCAGCCGGGAGCAGCTGAGCAGAAAGCGGGAGGAGCGGGGGGGTCACTGACTTTAGGTCTCCCTTTCTCTTTTTCCTCGTTTCTTTTCTCGTCCCCCTCGATTCTTTTTTTTTTTTTTTTTTTTTTTTTTTTTTTTTTTTTTTTTTTTTTTTTTTTTTTTTTTTTTTTTTTTTTTTTGAGGGAGGTTGGATAAAAATCTTAACACCTTGGGAATAGAGGAACAGTGGCACAAAAGGCCGGGCTGTGCAATTTAATAGGGTCTGCTGAATGGGAATGGAAAGAAGGGGGTGATTCTCCCAGGGCTAACAGTGCCTTTCTTTTTTCTCTTTCCTCGCATCAGGCAGGAAAAGAAACCCTCAAACCCTCCAGCGTTTCACCTCTAAGGGGAGCCACGGGGAAAATCTTCCAGCAGGTTGTGCCAAGCTCTTAGCAACAAATAGGGAAACTTTTTATTTTGGTTTTTGGGCTTTTTTAATGAGCTCCCTAGGCTGCGAAGCAGCTGTCACCTGAGCTGGGGAGGAAGGAAGGTTTTTAGGGAAAACCTTATCCCATAATGGGTGTTCTTGTATCCCTAAACCTCCTAACAACAGTTCTGAAGGGCATGGCACTGATTTTGGGGCAGTGGTTCTATCGCTGGCTGTTCCTTTTTTCCTTTAAAACCTGATCCAGGATTGAAGCCAAGCTCCTCTGCCCCCAAACTGCTCGGAAATCCCACAGCGAGGGCAGAATGGAAGTTTCCAGGGAATTTTGAGCCCTTGTTACCTTCAACATGTAAAATAAAAAAAGGCAAATGTGCTCTGGTAGCAGGGGACTCCGAGGTTTTGGGCAGAAATTCGCTTGTATGTGTTCCCTGACAAATTTGACAGCAGCTGAGCGCAGGTCCCTCACTCCTGAAATCATGAAATCATCCCCCCACTCTGTTAAAGCAGAATAATCAAAGTTCTGCCTCCACGAGTCTCTTTGGAACTCCTTAGAGTTCCCCTGGTGCTTTAATATTTGTTTTAATATTTTAATATTTAATATTCAAATATGAATATTTTAATATTAAATCCAACACCACTCACAGGGTCCCTATGCCCATGGAACCAAACCGAGCCTCGCTCACCTCCTGCTCCTGCTGCTGGAAATGAAAACAGGCAGCAGGCACAAATATCAAATGTGGCCCTGAAGGGGAAAATCCCTGGGAAAACAGGAGGAAGGACAGAAAATGTGCTGGAATAACCTCAGTGTCCCCTTGGCTTAACTCCTCGCCGCAGTCAGGCTCCCCTGGATGCTGAGGTGATCCTGTGGAGGGCCAGGCCAACCTGGCTGGGTTTGCAGCCTGAAAAAAGCCAAAAAATCCAAGTGGGAATGTTCACCTTGGGGTGAAGGGATTGCACTGGGAGTTTGTAATAAAATGGTGTGGAAAAAAGGAGAGGAGAGGAGAGGAGAGGAGAGGAGAGGAGAGGAGAGGAGAGGAGA